ATCCAACTGAGAACCCCGGTGTGATGAGAACCATCCAGCTGAGAACCCCTGTGTGATGAGAACCATCCAGCTCCAAGGATCTGGAGCAATAACTCCAGTGGTTAGATGAAGATGTTCCAGAAGAGACTTGGTGCCGTCTTCACCACCCAAACCTTTGAACTGCTCGCTCCTTTTTTCAGTCTGATCAGTTTTACAAATATTTAAAAGTAACATCCCCCCACAACTTGATGTGAGGCCTCTTGTGTAGGTTCATTACTTATAATCAACCTGAACATGGACTAAAGTCCGGCTTGTGAGGCAACAAGAACTTTTTCAACCCACTTTAAGAAAAAGTTTGTTCCATGAGGAGTAAAGTTCAGAACAGGTCCGAGTGTTTCACAAAAACATCTGTACATTTAAAATAACAAATAAAGGTCGACAGTGTCACTTTCACACATTTTGGTGTCAATGACCACATGTGCACATCTGTCACTTTATGTTTCCAGCTCTGCGCTGGTCACGTGTCACAGCGACCCGGGATCTTTCCTCAAGAATTTTTTATTTTGGCGTGTGTGACATTTACAGGCTGGAGGCTAAACCCAGCCTCGTAAAAAGCTGCTGCCTCTCCTCATTTTCATTTCAAATCCTCAACTCTTTTCTTTTTATCGTCTGCAGCACAAAACTCCAACAGGGAGGAGGAGCCAGAGTTTTGAACACCTCATTCTTCACAGACGGTCAGGAAATAAACACGCATGCCAGGTCTACCAGGATCATACATGCAGCTGAAGTTCAAGCACCCCTCTGGTTCCAGGGGGGGCGGGTGACACCAAGTGGTCGGACGTTCAGGTGAGTCCAGCAGGTTGGGGCCCACCTCCAACAGCTCCGTTCTGTGTGAAGATGAATGGAGCTCTGCTTCAAACGTGACGCGCACGTATAAAAACAAAGACGTGCACATTTTACAGACGGCTGCGTGTGCACAGCTCTGTCAGGTTTATTTAGAAAAGCTGAACTGGGAGGAAACAAATGAAATGCGTCATGTTCCATCAGGCCTGAACCACAGCTGGGGGGACACGGGGGTGTGTGAGTGTGTGTGTTAATCTTTAGGAATAAAATCAACGTTCAGAAGAGTCAAGCCAGGGTCAGAAGTGCTCTCTCCCGTTTCCTCCTCTTCCTCTTGTTGTCGCTGAGCCGGCCCGTAGCGTCAGTGAAGAACATCACGTCCTCTTTGCTCTCGATCCGGCGCTGAAGGAAGTGAAGGGCGGCGCTGTTGAAGCCCATCACGTCCTGAAACAGAGGACACCGTGAGGAGACGACACAACGGTCCCAGACACACCACTGTTCCTCTGCAGATGTTACTCACTCTGATTTGGCGCACTCTGGAGAGCGTATTGACCCTGAGCTCGTCGATGACGGACAGCAGCACCTGGTTACTGGTGACCAGACCCAAGTGGATCCTGAAAACCATGGAATCAGAACTGCTCACATCACAACTCTCAACAAGTGAAACTCCTGAAACTTCTGACCCTTTCCTATTTTATACTTTTTCTTAGCTCTTCATTACTATTGCCTTTTTTACGTTTAGCTTTTTCTGATAGTTACAACTTTTGTCCACATTTTTGTAGTTTTCTCTCTTCACCACAACGGACCGACACAGAGTCCACAATACTGCAGATGCTGCACCAGTCCATCCGAGGGTGGATTGTTCTCTTCAGGTCGAGGTTCTGCCTCAAGTGGAGGAGTTCAAGTATCGCTGGGTTTTGTTCATGAGTGATTGAAGAATGGAGCGTGACACTCACACATGGATTGGTGCAGCGTCTGCAGTACTGTGGACTCTGTGCCGGTCTGTTGTGGTGAAGAGGGAGCTGAGCTGTAAGACAAAGCTCTCTGTTTACTGGTCGGTCTACGTTCCTCCCCTCACCTCTGGTCATGAACTCTGTAGAGACTGAAAGAATGAGATCGTGGATCCAGGAGCTTGAAGTGAGTTTCCTCTGCAGAGCTGGACTCTCCCTCAGAGACAGGGGAGCAGTTCAGTGATCCACAGCAGAACGGAGATCACAGAGGAGGACGGAGGAGCTGCAGAGGAAGTTTCTCCTGCAGCGTGGCTGCACAAAGGTGCAGCAGGTGCTACATAATTTAAAATAATTCATTTTAAATAAAAATGTCATGCTGATCGTGCGGCTCATCCATCAATCAGCCAGTTGTGTGTCATGTCAGCTCTTATTTTGAAAAACTGCGATAGAACGAGTTCGCAAAAAACGAACTGTGAAGTAGTGAGAGAGTACTGTACATGCAAATTTAGATGTTCTGTCTGTTAGCAGCGCATCTGAGGAGCAGCTCGTTGCATTTGTTTGAAACTCACAGAATGTAATCATCACATGTATCTCTAGAAAATATTAACTTTTGGAGCCATTTTGACTCAAGATGGCTGCCACAGCTACCGCAGCAAACACAAAATTGACTATAACTCAGTGATTCTTTGAGATATTGACCTGGAATTTAGTATGGTTGTAGCTGAGAGCAAGTTGTTATAAATTCTTAATGCAGATCAAATATCCAAGATGGCCGCCTGAGCAAAAAAGGAAAAATACTATAAATCAGCTAATTTTACTGATACTGAGCTGACACTTGGTGTGGTGAGAACGTTTCCATCAACTGCTGCATCACAATCAAAAATCCAAGATGGCCGACAACGCTACTTTTTAAATGCTTGAACTCAGTCATTTTTACACATACAGAGCTGAAGTTTGGTGAAGTTGTAGCTGACAACGTGCTCTATCACACACTGATGCCAAATCAAAATTTCAAGATGGCTGCCTGAGCTGAAAAGAAAAAAAAACTTAAGTCGGCCATTTTTAGAGCTAGTCAGCAGAAATGTGGTTTAGTGTTGGACGAGGCCGAACCCCAACACAGACTGCTGCCAGCTGAAATGTTAAACTGGCACGACTTGCTGGTTGTTGATCATCAGTGACTCTTAGAGGCGTGCAGGTGGAGCTGCAGCCTCACGTGCACTGTGGTGCACAGAAGCTCCTGTGCAGGTTTCACAGTGAAGCTCTAGCACTCTACAATTACAGAAAATAATGTGAAAGGTTGAAGACCCTGCAACAACTCTGTGACACGAACTGAAGAGAAACTTGGAGCACGACTCTCCGACTCACTCACAGCAAACATCTTTCCAATAATCCCAGTATGGCAACATACTGGTTGTAGGTCCTCCCTAACTGGGCTGTTTCTGGGTTCGATCTCTGCCCGAGTTCTCTGCTTTGACCCAGTTTCATGCAAAGGAAATGGAGGTTAAAAAAAAAGATAAATATTTGTGTTGTGAACAAAGTTCCTGTGATGGGAACACACTAAAGTCTGATTCTACACTGGAACTAGTTCTGGGCACTTATTGAGCTGCTCTTGATTTTAATTTACTGACTCGATTCTGTTTCTGCTTTTGACTCCTTAAAAAATTCTTCAGCTCATCAGTTAGCCACCAGATCTGACACATCTGTACAACATCTGACACATGTGTCAGATCTGGACACATGGTCAGATCTGGACACATGTGTCCACGTCAACAGCCAAAGAACTTGTATTTGATGTTTTCCATGGCGTGGTGCTGGGCGGGGCTTACTTGAGCAGGAAAAAGAGGCAGCGGCAGACGAGCTCCACCTCCAGGTCCTGCTGGATGTAGCTGCTGAACAGCTTGAGCAGCTCGGGGACATACGGGAACGGCAGCACCAGCAGGGACACCTCCAGCTCACTGGTGATCACCACACACACAAACACCACTGCTTGTGTTAACGTGCACAAAACAATCTTGGGAAATGAGATCGATTTCTTGAGGAAACGATGAGTTTTTATTTTTTGTTCTCAACTTACCTGGACCGAACCTTCTTTATGACATCTAAGACGTAGCGGGAGGGCTACAGGAACAAGAAGAGACTTTGTTACAACCTAATGATAATAATATGAATAACCGTCTACTGGAAGCTTTCTCCTTGTTCATAATCCATGTGTTGTCTGTGGTTGTTCCACTTACAGCAACATTCCCAGAGGCCACGAGGATCGGGTTGGGTTTCGGAGGAGGCAACTGAAAGATAACGTCAGCTGTCTTAAATGATGACATCACAACAAAGCATGAACATTCATGTCAAACAAAATGAGCTGTTGTTTTAGGAGCGTCTTTATTTCATTCAAGCTTGAGCCTCGAGGACTCGTTTACAAGAGAGAGCTGATTTAAACAAAGAACAGATGAGGTCCAGACAACAATAGACGACCATATAAAATACAAAGATATTCTAATTCTAATGTGTCGGAGTCTGTCTTTAACTGCAGGACTGTTCAGTCCAGTTCAGGTGTGGAGGAAGTGCAGGTGGAACATCAAACATGTTTGTACCTCTTTGCCAGCGTTCTCACAGGCATATTTGTGCTCCTCCATCTTTCTGCTTTCTTCTCTGTAGAGCTCCAGAGCCTCCATGATTCGCTCCGCCTGCAAACAGGTCACATGGACGTCAGCAGAGGTCAAACAAACCTGAGGCCGTCCTCCACAAACAGAAAACTCCAAGTTAACCCTGGGCTTTCTCTTCAGGACCAGATGGAGGTAAAAGTGAGTCTGTCGCCATGGTAACAGACTCTGCAGTGTACCAGCTTTATAGCAGTTTCTAAAATGGTAAATGGACTGTACTCATGCAGCTCCCTTCTGTCTTATGAAGACACTCAGAGCTCTTTACAACAACCTGTGCCTCACTGACCCATTCACACAGCTCTATACTAGATCACCCATTCACACAGCTCTATACTAGATCTGTACAAAGAGAATTGAACAAATCATTCTCAAGAGACTAATCAGAGCTTTATCACATTCAGACACTGATGGGACACATCAGAGGCAGTGAGGGGTTCAGTGTCTTGCCCAGGGACACTTCGACATGTGACTGCTGGTGGATTTGAACCCCCAACTCTTGCATTGGAGGACGACTGCTCTAACCACTGAGCCACAGCTGCCTGAACACATCTCCTACATTAAAGAAGCTGCCCAACAAGAGCTGTCCGTTTTTAAACTATTTGATTCTACAGCAGAAGTATTTCATCAGACGTCCGTTATGAGACAGCTGCGTTCTGTACACCCAAAATTACTGTTGTCAGACTTTTTAAAGGCTTTTACTAAATAACTAAAGGAATATTTGAGGACTTCTTCCTGTTTCTCTCTTCTCTAGTTATTTGGAACATTAGATGTTTTAGCTGTTCCTATCCACAGTAGTCCCTCACTACTTTGCGTTTCGACTTTCGTGGACTCGCTCTATCGTGGTTTGTGAATGTACAGTACATAATATTGAACAAAAAATATTTGTACAGGACACGATTGTACACTTTAATATTACTCACGTGACTGGGACAGTAAAAAGTTTACGAAAAATAAAATACTTTGGACAGGCACTGCCATTGTGAAGTTTTGTGTCAGTAAGTTCCACTGTAGTCCTGCTCAGAGAGACTCCATTTACAGAGGGCAACAGGCCCCGCCCACAAGCCCTGCTCCATTCTGATGAAACACTAGAGGGAAGGTTTGATCCGATTAGAAACAGGTTGGTGCTTATTACAGTGACTTTGTCACCCAGTGGTTGCAGAGAAGCTGCACTGAACCCACCGAACTGGACCAGAACCAGAGCGGAACCAGACCTCCAGACCCATGAGTGAATCTTGAGAGCTGGTAGCCGGTCCACGAGGACCTCCGAGCAGGACACGCTGGTAAATAACATTTAGTAGCTACATTTAAGTATGTTGTTAAAATTAGTAGGTTTAAGAGTTTAGAACATTGATTGTTGCTGCAGGGCACATCTGCAGAACCAGAACAGAGTCGGACCGGACACGAACAGAGTCACTGCTGTCTAGCAGAGCCCGGTAAATAAAATTTAGTAGCTACATATACAGTACTGTATGTATGTTGTTAAAATGATGTAACTTCAAGAGTTCTGAACAATGCAAGAGCGTGTAAAGGGTTTCTAAAGCCTCAACATATATACAGTATAAATACTAAAATAAATATAACGTCGAAACTTGGCAGAATTTCACTTACTGCAGGCGGGTTCGGAACCGAACATACGCAATAAATGAGGGACTACTGTACTCGTTTTTGTTTTTTACATCTATGTGTTGAGAACACAAAAACAGAAAAGTTGATACAAAGCAGAATAATTCAATAATACATTTTAATGAAAAAGAATTAATGATTTTTTTTTTCTTTTCCATATATTTGCATTTATTGTTGTATGAACAGTCACTGTATTAATTTATATATATTATATATATATATACACAAACCGGATTCCAAAAAAGTTGGGACACTAAACAAATTGTGAATAAAAACTGAATGCAATGATGTGGAGATGGCAAATGTCATTATTTTATTCGTAATATAACAGATGACAGATCAAAAGTTTAATCTGAGTAAATGTAACATTTTAAAGGAAAAATATGTTGATTCAAAATTTTACAGTGTCAACAAATCCCAAAAAAGTTGGGACAAGTAGCAATAAGTGGCTGGAAAAAGTAAATTGAGCATATAACGAACAGCTGGAAGACCAATTAACACTAATTAGGTCAATTGACAACGTGATTGGGTATAAAAAGAGCTTCTCAGAGTGTCAGTGTCTCTCAGAAGCCAAGATGGTAAGAGGATCACCAATTCCACCATTGTTGCACAGAAAGATAGTGCAGCAATACCAGAATGGTGTTACCCAGCGTAAAATAGCAAAGACTTTTAAGTTATCATCATCAACCGTGCATAACATCATCAAAAGATTCAGAGAATCTGGAACAATCGCTGTGCGTAAGGGTCAAGGCCGTAAAACTCTACTGGATGCTCGTGATCTCCGGGCCCTTAAACGTCACTGCACCTCAAACAGGAATGCCACTGTCAAGGAAATAACAGAATGGGCTCAGGAATACTCCCAGAAAGCATTGTCAGTGAACACAATCCACCGTGCCATCTGCCGTTGCCAGCTGAAACTCTACAGTGCAAAGAGGAAGCCATTTCTAAGCAAGCTCAGATGTTTGCACTGGACCAGGGGTCATTTAAAATGGAGTGTGGCAAAATGGAAGACTGTTCTGTGGTCAGATGAGTCACGGTTTGAAGTTCTTTATGGAACACTGGGACGCCATGTCATCCCGACTAGAGAGGACAAGGATAGTCCAAGATGTTATCAACGCTCCGTTCAGAAGCCTGCATCACTGATGGTATGGGGTTGCATGAGCGCTTGTGGCATGGGCAGCTTGCATGTCTGGAAAGGCACCATTAATGCAGAGAACTATGTTCAGGTTCTAGAACAACATATGCTCCCATCTAGACGTCATCTCTTTCAGGGAAGACCCTGCATTTTTCAACACGATAATGCCAGACCACATTCTGCAGCAATCACAACATCATGGCTACGTAGGAGAAGGATCCGGGTACTGAAATGGCCAGCCTGCAGTCCAGATCTTTCACCTATAGAGAACATTTGGTGCATCATAAAGAGGAAGGTGCCACAAAGAAGGCCCAAGACGATTGAACAGTTAGAGGCCTGTATTAGACATGAATGGGAGAGCATTCCTATTTCTAAACTGGAGAAACTGGTCTCCTCTGTCCCCAGACGTCTGTTGAGTGTTGTAAGAAGAAGGGGGGATGCCACACAGTGGTAAAAATGGACTTGTCCCAACTTTTTTGGGATTTGTTGACGCCATGAAATTTGGAAACAACAGATTTTTCCCTTAAAATGATACATTCTCTCAGTTTAAACTTTTGATCTGTGATTTGTGTTCTATTCTGAATAAAATATTAGATGTTGGCACCTCCACATCATTGCATTCACTTTTTATTCACAATTTGTTTAGTGTCCCAACTTTTTTGGAATTCGGTTTGTATATACACACACACATATATATATATATATTTTTTTTTTTATTTTTATTTTTTCTTAAAATGAACAAGATTTTCTTAATTCCTAATATTTCATACACTTCCTTGGATGTGTGGCTCACTTCTCATTCTTCAAAACAGCAGGTTTGCACTAAACTCTGTATTTCGGGGACTGAGCGGTGGAAACACTCACAGCTTTGACTGTCTCCACTGTTTTCTTTCCGGCCGGTGCAGCTTCTCCCTCAGTCTCTCCTGGTACCTGCAGACAGAAACACAACAAATCTCACGTAAATCTCACGTCTGACTGGGTGATTTGCTGTTGTTGTCAGAGCAGGACTCCATTTGTACAGTGATGTGCCTGTAGAGTTTCAGAGTACAAAAGAATGTTAGATTACCGTATTTTCAGCCGTACACGTCGCACCGCCCTATAATTCGCATCACTCCATATTTGTCTAATAATGTGGAAAAATTAATAAATATGTCGCATCTATTACGCGTCACCGCTGACAACCCCGAAATGTGGGCCAGTGTTGTGCCAAAAATCAATAGGCTGCCAAATGGTGGCCGCGGGAGCGTGCATGGGATGATTTTTACAAGAATTTAACAAGATTAACCCTTAAAAACAATTATTTGTTTGCTCAAAATATGGGATGATTTTTACAAGAATTTAACAAGATTAACCCTTAAAAACAATTATTTGTTTGCTCAAAATTATAGTAAAGATGTGTCTCAGTTAAACTTTTACTTAATAAATGCACTTCACTGGTCAAATCTGCTGCATTTTGCCGGGGCGGCGCAGCAAAATGAAGCTGATTTGACAGTTGCTCCAGGAGAGCTGGACGAAGGTGGGAGACTTGGGCAAGCCGATTGTGTCATTAATAACCACTTTTACATATTACATGACATAACGGCATGCTATACTACTCTGGTGCCATCTAGCGGCTGAAAAATGGTAGTGTTCTATATTTTCAGTCAGAATGAATGAAAGTGGTCATATCCCAGACAAAAACTGGTTTATAAATACTGGAAAAAAATCCATAAATATGTCGCTTCGGCGTATAAGTGGCAGGGCTAGGGCTGAGTACCGAATTTCAGTTCTTTTATGGTACCAACCGAACTGCTTTGGTCGGTGTCAAGTTTCAGTGGTTGGCTGTAATGTGACATGTGGTTGAAACTACATGTCACATTACAGCCAACGCCAGTGCTGCAACGCAAGAAAAACACATACATGCTTACGCTCACAGACGGGGTTAACATGGTTTCTAAGGTAAGCCATTATGAAGAGCCTGACCGTGCACGAAATTTAAGAGCATAAATTTGCTCTGTGTTTGTCTGCAAGGAGAGAGGAGCGCAGCCTCCTCCTCCTCTCAGAGTTAAAGTTAGCCTGTTGGTGTTGGAGCCTGAACGGCCTGATTCATCATCTCCACGACCGGACTCTGCTTCATCCGAGGACGGAGCTGTGTCTGTGCTTCAGCTAGTGAGTTTACGTTTGCTAACGTTACTGCAGCTTAACACGTGCATCGCGGTGAATTAAACTAGAATCCATGTAACACTAACTTTAAGATATTAGTGTGTAAATTTATTTTATAGATATCTATGTAGCTAGCTAAAAATCAGAAGCTACAGTGTCTTGTGAAAGTATTCAGCCCCCTTGAACTTTTCAACCTTTTACCACATTTCAGGCTTCAAACATAAAGATATAAAATTTAATTTTTTTTGTGAAGAATCAACAACAAGTGGGACACAATCGTTAAGTGGAATGAAATTTATTGGATGTGTCAAACTTTTTTAACAAATAAAAACTGAAAGTGGAAAGTGACCGGTGTCAGCGCCTGGTTCGCATCGCCGGCAGTAAGTCGGGCTTGTTCCCGGTGAGAGTTGGACTCCGCCAAGGTTGCCCTTTGTCACAGATTCTGTTCATAACTTTTATGGACAGAATTTCTAGGCGCAGCCAAGGTGTTGAGGGGATCCGTTTTGGTGGCCTTAGGATTGCGTCTCTGCTTTTTGCAGATGATGTGGTCTTATTGGCTTCATCAGATCGTGATCTACAGCTTTCGTTGGAGCGGTTCGCAGCCGAATGCGATGCGGCCGGGATGAAGATCAGTTCATCCAAATCCGAGGCCATGGTCTTGAGCCGGAAAAGGGTAGAGTGCCCTCTCCGGGTCAGGGAGGAGGTCCTACCCCAAGTGGAGGAGTTCAAGTATCTTGGGGTCTTGTTCACGAATGAGGGAAAAATGGAGCGTGAGATCGATAGGCGGATAGGTGCAGCATCTGCAGTGAAGTGGGCGCTGTACAGGTCTGTCGTGGTGAAGAGAGAGCTGAGTCAAAAGGCAAAGCTCTCAATTTACCGATCGATCTACGTCCCCACCCTCATCTATGGTCACGAGCTTTGGGTTGTGACCGAAAGAATGAGATCTCGGATACAAGCGGCCGAAATTAGTTTTCTCCGCAGGGTGTCTGGGCTCTCCCTTAGAGACAGGGTGAGAAGCTCAATCATCCGGGAGGGACTCGGAGTAGAGCCGCTGCTTCTCCACGTCGGGAGGAGCCAGTTGAGGT